TTGAGAATATCAAATATGTATAACATGAAATATGATCATATCTATCCCCATTTCCCTCTCCAACTCCCTCCATGTCCATGATAGATTGTCTCATTTCTAGCTTCATGAACTTTTTAATTAATAATGTACTAAGTCCTGTTAGTGATGCCCATAGGTCCATGGGTATGGGGCCCTTACTGAAGCATGGAAAACCCCAGCAGACACATCCTCAAAAAAGAATTATTCTCCTAGCAACAATGCACTACAAATGCTCCTCAGCAAGAAGTGGGGCCTAGAGGTTTTGGGCCCTATGCATGTTGGAATTTTGGCTGATTTGATCTTGTATAGGCCTGTGCTACCTATGTTATATCCTGTAAGCCAGCATTTCACAGCACTTCTCCCAGTCCTTTGGCACTTACAGTCTATCTTCCTCTTACCATGATGCCCCCTGAGTCTCGGTGGAAGTAGAGTTAGCATGTTGCAACTAGGGCTGAGATACTCTGTATCCTTCATGGGCTATGAAGTGACACATATAACCTTTATAGTGATGGAAAATTTTGGTTGACTGTGTTCTTTTACCAGTGAGTTTAGAATTTCTATCTGTTTTATGTTACTATTATTCAATCCTTTTTTTTTTTTACAGTATCCAATGTTTATTTGGAACAGTCTAAGTCCTTCAATCATTGACTGTCAGGAAAGTTATGTTGTAGGACAACTTTGCTGGGTAGAACATTCTAGGATGGCAGTTTTTTAAGATTTTATTTGTTAATTTTATTTTATGTATATGAGTGTATTGCCTCCATGTATGTGAGTGCACCCATGTCATGCAGTGCCGAGGAGGTCAGAAGGCGGCTTCAGATTCCCCTGGAACTGGAGTTAAGGACGAAGGTTTGTCGTTGCCATGTGGGTGCAGGGAGTCAAACCGGGTTCCTCTGCAAGAGCAGTCTATGCTCTTAACTGCTGAGCCGTCTCTCTAGCCCCACGATGGCAGCTCTTTACTTTAGTGCTTTGAATAGAACAGTCCCATTTGCTTGCTTGTAAGGCTTCTGATTAAAATTTGTCTACTGTACGTTTTGAAACTGATACATTATCTGATTCTACTCTTTTTATCAGGGCGAGTAATGATAGGGGGGTCTTTATAGCCCAGGCCAGACTGGAATTTGATATGTAGACCTTTCCAAGTGATCCTCTGTCTCATGGTGATCCACCCACCTCTGAATCCTAGCACTGGGATTAAAGACATGTGATTTGGTTCTATTCTCTTGTTGCAGTTAGGAAAATCCCTTATTTTCTGTCAGTTTGGTTGAATGTATTGTTGGATTCATTTTTTTTTAACTTTTACAAAAACTTCATTGAGAATTTCATACCTGAACAACTTCATGTACTTTCTTTCTTTTTTATTCTTTATGGGGCCTCCCTCCCCTCCAACATTCCCCCCTCTGAAGAGGTAACTCTAAAATCTTTCAAGGATTAGATACAAGTTCCCAAATATTTTTGTCATTTTTGGCCTTTGGAACAGAGTATGTTGCTAACAGGCCCAAGGACAGTTTGACTTTTAGCTAAGAAACTGGCTACATTTCTTTGGGGTCTTTTTACCCTAACTACCTAGCCAATTCCTACCTCTTATTCTTATCACACCATCCTCTGAAGGGGTTAGCCAAATTGCTAATAGGGAATAGGGATGCAGACTGCTCTGGCTTCTTCCATGATGAACAGGGGTGCAGGGTGAGTCAATTGGGGTACCCCTTCACTGGGTCTATCTAAAAGACTCCCAAATTGCATAACTCTTGTCTCAAAGGGGAGAAGAAAGTCCTTGAATCATGAATAGGAGATGTGAAGGAGAAGAAAAGGCAAGAGTAATTAGCATTACAAGTTCTAGACAGAGAACTAGAAAACAGTCAGAACAAGGCAATTTTCAAATGTTCATATCAGAGTCCATTGGAGTTTTTTGACAAAGGTTTCCAAAAGCATCCCTCCATTGGGTTCTTCCTCATTTTTCTTTTGTCTTCCAAGGCTGGACTAGTTGGTTGGGAAGAGTGGTTGGATACTTAGGTGAGGGTCCAGTGACCCTGCTTGGCACTCCTTTAATGAATGAGCACAACCATCAACAAGCCCAATTGTGACTATGTTTAACGATCAGGCTCAGTGGAAGTCGTGATGAATGTAGTTATTTCATGCAGAAGGGACTGCTCTATAGCATCATCTTATTAAAAGGGCCTGGAGTTTAAAAGGATTTGGTGCTAGGAGGCACATATGAAGGAGAACATACATTGATTGTTTTTCTGAGTCTGTTACTTCACTTAGTATAACAGTTTCTAGATCCATCCATTTACCTGCAAATTTCATTATTTCATCTTTCTTATTTGGATTGAATCATAATGGAGAAACTTGAGCATCTTTTATTTATATCTTTATCTGGCTTTGGAAATTTTTATGCTACTGCTTCTTTAAAGAAATGTCCTATAACTTTTTCCTGTTTATTTGGCTTGAATATCTGTTCATTTGCATCGCCACAAATTGTAAACTTCCTTAACTCCTTTTCCTCCTTCTTCTTTTCTTCTGACCCTATAGTTGTCCATATGTATGTGTGCAGGGTTGGTCCCAGGACCTCCACAGATACCAAATCTGCAGATGCTCAGAACAGTTATCTAAAATCACAAAGCGTTTGCCTATCACTTCATCACCCCCTACCATATATTTTAAATTGTCCTTATAATAGTATTATTATGAAAGTGATAGATATATTGTTTATTAAATGATAATAAGAAAAAGTCTGTATATGGTCAATATAGATACAATTTCCCTTAACATTTCTGATTAATAGAAGTTGAATCCAAAGGTATAGAGGGAATATTATATTTTAAAATAACTTGTTAGTGAGTTTTCACAATTTTTCTTCTGCCTGATCAAGTCTGCTCTGGATGCTCTCTGAGGTCAGTTTTTCTTCTATTCACTCATTCCATTTTTCAGCTCCAATGATTCTGGAACTTTATTGCTACTTCAATTTCTGTCAAATTTTGAATGCTCACATAGACCTTTTCTCAATTATTTCAATTGTTGTTCTGAATATTTGGTATCTCCCCTGTTCCCTGAGCTCTCTTGTGAAAGCTTTTTAGTTAGGCAAAGTTTTTCAGGATTTTAATGTTTCTCCAGAGGTATAACTATTGGACTGCTGGAAATATTCCTTATCACTCTCTTGTTCTAACTTTTCCCTCAAATTCCCTTTTCAT